TAGGATAAACAAAGTATAATATATAATTTATTTATATAAAAAAATATCGCAAAATTGAATATTTACATCGAATATAAAAATATATATTTGCATTGAAAAAAAAACATTTCTTTTTCATAAAAATTAGAATCTAATAAATGTTTATTTGCTTTTAATAACAAATTAATTTCTAAGTTATTATCTAGGAGACGTGCTCGTTTATCTCCAAAAATGAGCTTACCTAGACTGAATAAGCGCTCTACGGGAGCACTTGATGTTAGAACAACATTATATTTAATAAAGAGTAATTTTAACTTTGGGAAATCGTTATATAAAAAAAAGTGTTGTTATTAGATTTGATAAAGTTTTCTATAAGTTCATTATCCAGAATATTTTGGCGCTTTAGGTCAAAAAATCCAACTACATCAAGTGATGTTGGTTTTGAGCATGATTCATTCGTCTGGGATTCACTTTGAGGTATTAAGGTATTTATTAAATTTAAAATTTCCTCCTTTTTTGCTTTATTCCTTTTTTGCCTAATCCAAGGCCAGTCAGTTTTAAATAAAGGGTGAAGAATTGCAGCAATGATGTTGTCATTATCATAAAGATTATTAAACCTATAACATGATATTATTAATTTATAAATAATTATTTGATTTTAGTTACCTTTTTTCAATACTAGCTAATATAGTATCCTTTAGAGGTTGACAATATTATAATCCCTGCACATCTGCCATACATATAAGTATTTGTGTTATTGTTGGGAACAATCAGACATTTTCACAAAATTTTAAATTAATAAATTTTATTTAAAAAATAAATTTAATTTAAAATTAATTTATCACAACATATTAAAAATAAAATTAATTATTTGGATATATCTTTAAAAGTAACTAGTTACTTTTGGCAGTTACATTTCAAAAATTTTAACTAGTTACAGTTACTAGTTACAATTTTTAAAATATAACTAGTTACAGTTATTTTTTAGCCAAAATGTAAGTTACTTGTAACTAGTTATTTTAACATCACTAGAAATTTCCCCTGTCTTACATCCCTAGGAATAGGTAAGATAAAATAATTTAAAAATAAATATACAGTTAATTAGTCATTTTGAACTCGGCTAATTACTATATTAAATTTGTTAGTTTTCTATTATTAATTGATTATATTTTTAATTAAGATTATATAATAATTTAATTAATAATAGTCTATTAAGTTTCAACTGTTAAAGCTAAATTAATATTTAGTGAGTGATATTGATATTTTATTTTTAACACAGAATTTGATTGCAAGCTGGCATAGTGAAAATATAATTTATGTTCAATAATCTAATCTAATAATTAAAATTATCATTTAATAAAAATTTAGACAGTCTTATTAATTTTTAAATAATAAAATAAATCTATATATTACTTAGTAGAATCATAAAAGAAATCGTTCAGGGGTCAATCAAAAAAAATTATTTTTAATTCAAGGGGTTAAAATTCCATTAAAAAATTTTTTTGCTTCAGAAGGCTATTCAAATTATTCAGGGGACTCGAGCCCCTGCTCGCTCCCCCTAGCGACGCCACTACCTCAAACTCAACTCTCTGGAATAGATGCGACATCTTATCATATCAATTCGACTCATTCCTTTGAGGAGATTTAAATTATTTGGTCATAGTTTAAGATATTCAAGAATATGATATTCTTGTTCAAGAAGTGGTCCCCAGTTTATAGGAAGCAGAAAACTCTCAAATACTATTGGCTGGCAAAATTTCTGAAGGATATGGACTTGACCAATCTCTCGTTTACAGATTTCTAGCACTCAGCAAGAACAAAAAACACCTAAAGAAACACCTACAATTAGTGTTGTTAAACGGCTCGATTTGAGCCGATTTTTAAAAACGGCTAAATCAATATTTTATCCAAAATAATATTACGCAAGTTTGAAGATTTTGCTCATAGATGGCACAAAGGTCTAGACATCAATTAGCGAAATTTCGAGGTTTAGGTAATATTTTTCTAGCTAAAATATGGATTTAGCCGTTTTTAAAAATCGGCTCAAAATGAGCCGTTTAACAACACTACCTACAATACATGCTCAGACATGGTCTAAACTATAACAGGAATCGTTTGAAAGAAATGAGACTACATTCACATTGCTTTTTCATCTTCCCTCTGAAGTTCAGTGAAAATTTATGTTTTGGCACCTGTTACCTTTGGAAACAATTGCTAGAATGAAATGATGATGGTAATTGTGACAATTCTTTTTCTTTTACTTTCCTCTATAATAATAATGATAATGTGTTATATATAATAATACGGAGGATTCCGGGAATCATTTAACTTAGCACAAACAAGGATTTATAAGGACACACCATATCTCCAAAGAAAGACAAAATAATAAGGAAAAAAATAAACAAAAACAGAATAACAAAAGAAAATAAGCTTTTAGGAAAATGGTTTTCAGGGACCAACTTTACAATTTTGGATTAGTTACCTCTGGAACGACAGGCCTTATTGACATTACGTTAACTTCCATACAAAAATATTTACCAAAAACATATAGATTATTTTATTCCAAACCAAGCATCAGGTGTATAATTTTCTTTACATGACTTTACAATTATTAACACTATTCTACCGGCAACGGAACTAAGAGATCTTCTATTTCTTATCTCTCTCTTCTCAACTATGATAGCTGACTCATAGTGTTACCGTCTTACAATCGGTTTTCTGCCATTTTCACAATAGAAAATATATATATATACAGATGTTAGGAAGTTTATCTTACATAATTATTTTACTCATCATACATTATAAAACATATTAAAATATCCATATATATAATCATTAGTAACTGACAAATATAACACATAATATGTAAATAAAATATTACAATAAATTACTCTTTTACTATATTTTCCCCTTCATTGATTGAAAGGAAACACAACTTAAAATTTCTCCTAAAACATCCTAGTCTTTGGTCTCCATTTACCGCTGCCTTGGTAATATTGATCTCGCATAGAGTATCAATATCGATTTCCTTGTTTATTGATCTCACCTAGAGTATCAATATCGTTTTTCTTGTTGATTGATCTCACCTAAAGTATCAATATCGTTTTCCTTGTTGATTGATCTCACCTAGAGTATCAATATCGTTTTACTTGTTGATTGATCTCATCTAGAGTATCAATATCGTTTTCCTTGTTGATTAATCTCCCAGTCCCACCGGAGTATCAATATCGACGAATCTCCCACCGAAGAGTCAATATAGATGGATCTCCCACTGGAGTATCGCTATCGAGTTTATTGTCTTGATCTCCCACCGGAGAATCGTTGTCGAGTCATTGTGCCTTGATCTCCCACCTGAGAATCAATATCGATGGATCTCCCACCGGAGTATTGCTATCGAGTTTATTGATAATTATCCTAGAGCTGGCCAAGAGATCACTGTCATCTTTGAATGGCCCACGAGGTCACTATTAGCTTAGAGCTGGCCAAGAGATTGCTATCATCCTTGGATAGCCCATGAGGTAATCCAAATCCCTACATCGGATAAGATGTAGTTTCAACCCAAATATGGCTACATCTGGCTCACGGAAGCCCCAATAGTTTTGCATAAGTCACGTGATTTAAGAGCCCAACATCCTTATATCTTTAGGTCTTAATTAGTCAGGTATATTTATCAGTTTCCATTTTCACAATGTCAAAATAAGCCAGCTTCTATCAGTAACCCTTTTCTCAATGTCCAAATTCCATAATCCATAAACCAATCTCCATGTTTTCCCATATAATTGTTCCAATAATGTCCATTTTACAAAGAGTAATAAATTTCCATATTTCCATAAGTAAAAGATTGTACCATCATATTTCCTCAAGTAATAGATTATACCGTATTATCTTATACATCCAAATGATTATTAAATTATTCTCAACAGATTTCCACAAACCATATTCCCATAATTAATAGATTATACCATATTATCATATACATCCAAATGATTGTTAAATTATTATCAACAGATTTCCACAAACCATATTTCCATAAGTAATAGATTATACCATATTATCATATACATCCAAATGATTGTTAAATTATTATCAACAGATTTCCACAAACCATATTTTAATAAGTAATAGATTATACCATTTTATCATATACATCCAAATGATTGTTAAATTATTATTAACAGATTTCTACATATTCATAATTTTATCTTTCTCATTTTTAATAATTGCTTGCATTCATTCTTCTGGAATTTCAAGAATAATCAATTATTGTTTTTCATAATTCATCTTTCAAGACAAGATTAAGATTGCATAATAATAAATTCATAGACCATTAATGTATTTTCCAAATAATATCATAGTTTAATACCATTGAAATGATATTTTCCAATAATTTTCCTTAGTTAATTAGATAAAACCCAATGGCTTCATATTATATGTTCTTTTTTTTCGTCGCCAATTATACAATTGGCTTTCTGACATTTTATTCCACCATTTTCACAATAGAAAATAAATATATGAATAAATGCATATATATAATGTTAGGAAGTTTATCGTACATAATTATTATACTCATCATACATTATTATAAAACATAATAAAATATCCATATATATAATCATTTATAACTGACAAATATAATACATAATATGTAAATAAAATATTATAATAAATTACTCCTTTACTACACCGTCCACTATAATAAAATGGGTATACATCATGTATAGAATCTATACATTAATGAATATACAGATGCACGCTCCAACTTCTGTGGGTAATGAAATTGCACTTAGTGTAATTTCTGGAGTGGTAATGAATGAATGATTGGGAAATCAAGGTGTAGATCGCCAAATTCAACAAAGTTAGAGAACATTTTAAAAAATTCGTGAGCTCGTTATTAAATTATAATGGGTATATATTATTTTTTATATTTTCCCACTCTAAAGGTATTTATCATTTTTTATATTTGTGAATCTAAAAGTGGATATTTAACATTTTTATTTTTTTGCACATTTAATAAGCATTTATCCTACCCTTTTTAATCAATATTATTTTAAATGCATTTATTATTTTTGGTTAAAGATGTGCACTAACTATGACATGCCGATTTCAATGGGTAAATATTTGACCAAAAAAAAGTTTCAACTATTTTTTATATAATAAAATGACATAGGTAACATTTAAATAAATTAAATAAATGTTATTTATTATATAATCAAAAGAAGATTAGATTATATTGTCAACATAGCTGATTTTATAATTATCAATAAACATATATCTATTGTTGTTAAATTGCTTGATTTAAGCCGATTTTTAAAAACGGCTAACTCAATATTATAGCCAGAAAAATATTGCCCAAGTCTCAATATTTTGCTAATAGATGTTCAAACCTTTCTGCCATCTATGACTAAAATCTCAAGGATTGTGTAATATTGTTCTGGATAAAATATTGAGTTAGCCTTTTTAAAAAATCGACTCAAATCAAGCCATTTAACAACACTACATATATCTATTATAATTAACTATTATCAGAGGGAAAAGTGACATCCTTGTTCTTGGGGGGGGGGGGGGTGGTTAGGCAAACCAGATGGTTAAAATATAATGTCCTCATAGTCCAAAATCATTTCTATCTATCTAATGGGGGGACCTGATTTTTCTTAAGTTTTAGATAGCTGCGAATAATATTTTTGAACAAATGGTCTGGCCCATTAAGGCATGTAGTCCAAATTTTTTATAAGGCTGGATGAATGAAATCTAAATATTTATTTTATATTTTAATGTTATGCGCTAAATTTAAATATTTAGTAATAACTTTCATAATTTAATTATCTATTTTATTCTATTGGAAATAAATATATTTCTACTTCCTTTTTTTAAGATTTTTTTTTTTATAAATTCTAATTGTCATATTAGATAAAAAAAGGGAAATAGGAAGTAATATTACATTAATCATTTTTGGATGGGCCAGGCCTATATTATTGATGAATTACCGACTGGACTGATGGGTACGCCTTGCAGGAAAGTAAGCCTCAAACTGACTAAAAAAAATTATCATATTTTAAATTTTTCTAAAAATATTATACAGTCATTATTCATCAAATCATTTATTCTGCCTTCATCAAATTATTCAACCACTTTAAAAACCCTAGATTAAATATTATTTAACACTTGTCATGAAAAATAATAATTATCAATTTACAAGGAAAGAGGGTGGGGATTTCCCCTTGGCAAATTTGTAGATTTTTTTAACATATCTCATTACAACTCACTTTTTTCCCACTCCTAAATAAAATTATGTCAATATTTTTTTAAATAATTTATCAGAAATAAGCATTTAGAACTAAATTTGTTTAAATCCAATATTATTAAAAATATCTATGCACGAGAAATTACTTGTGATTTTTTTTGGTAGATAGTTTTTGATAGATTACATATTTGACTCTATCTGAAATATTAGATTATATTATTTGTTAATTTTGACCATTTTTACCTCTTTTCACTAAACAAAATATTTATGATTTTATTTCTCCTTATATTTTTATTTTTTGAATTTCACTTAATTCTTATTTCTTTTTGGCAATCAAATTTTTTAAAATTATTTTGCATATCAAATTAATTTAATATAATTAAGATGCATATATAAAGCAGAGCCTAGCCATGAATTTTTATCTAAGGGTGGGTGGAAGCTGTTTACTTAGGGGAGGGGGTTGATATTTTTTGAAATAGAACATAGTAGGCACTCATAGAACTTTTTTGCTATAATTTGTAAATGATGATTTTGATTTTTAAATTTTAACATAAATGAATTAAAAACTAAATTCTATATTATTTTTTTTCTATAAGCCATACTAAATTTTGTTTACGTCGATCATCTATCTCTTATCTAGTGCTTGATAGAACTCTTAGAGAATGAGGTCTCACAAAAAGCGGTTAATACATGAAGATGGCTCTATGTAGCATTTATACAATTCTTTAAATGCAGAATGAATATTTTTTATACATAATATTTACAATATATTTTCAAAATTTTATTACTTATTATGTAAATAGATTAATGTTATTACTTATTATATAAATAAGTGATTTTTCAATAAAAATATTTTATATACTATTAGAATTGCAATTGAATTGAATATTAACTATAACTGATCATTATAATATTTTTAAATGACATATATTTTATGTTATGGTATAGTTAAATTATAGATGTTATATTATTAAATATATTAAAAATTAAAACCATTGGTATCTAATACAAAATTAGATAAGATATCGGATCAGTAATCGGCGGATATCAAATCAATATCGGGGATATCGGATCAAAGTGACCTCCAAAAAGTGGTATCAGTACACCCCTAGTTCAGATATATTTTTAAATTCCTTGAAAACATCCAAAAATTAACCCTTTCTTATATGACTACTCAAATGAAAAATTTTACAGTATCCAAAAATCAGATTATAAATTTTATATTACTGGTAAGAAGTTGACTGATAACTGATACAGAATATTTGAAAAACATTTGGAAATGCATTTTTGTATGGGTAGAGAAATTTGGCAAAATCTGATGTAACAAATATTTAATTTTTCTAAACTTTTAACAAATTATTTTTTAACAATCTCAATTTCAATTATTAATTCCTCATCAGTAATATTGGTTGCCAATAAAGATTTTAATTTTTTTATGTCTAGAAAATTGAAATGGCCATCTGATTTAAATTTTATTTAAATTTGCTAATTAGTTTATACAAAAAAATTGGAAAAATCTTTTAGTCTTATGATCCACTTCTATATATTCTGCAATTATATTGTTTCCCAAGGCCCCTGTATACAAGAAATTTATTCCAGTTGGTAAAACCCGTTTTGGTATAGATTTGATTCTCATTCTTTAAGTTATAGATCTTACAGGAAGGTAAAAAAAATGGCCTTAGCTTCAAGTAATTATTCAACCTATACGTATTTATAAAACTTTAAAGAAAATATTCTTTCATTATTAGTATTATTGTTAAATAGACCGATTTGATTCGATTTTTAAAAACGACCCGATTAAGATTTTAGATAGAATAATATAACCAAACCTTGTCATTTGGCAAATGGATGTCCACATCTTTCTGCCATCTGTTAGAAAAATCTTCAAACTTACATAATATTATTTTGGTTATAATTTTGATTGTGCCGTTTTTTAAAGGCCCGAATCGGGCTTTTTAACACCACTAGATGTTGGCCTATTTGGTGATACCTGATTTAAATCAGTTGTAAAATATTTGGTATAAGAATAACTTAAAAATCTAACCTATCCATTTTGTTTTTGCAAGCTCAGGCTCATTTTCCTTATTCTGAATCTTGGCCTCTTTATTATTTTCATTCTTCCACCAAATTAATAACTATATTTACATTTTCTCCTTCCTCATTAAAATATGAGATGCTTTGGTGCTATAAGGTGTTTCAGTAGATATGAATAAATAGTTTTTTTTAATACCGTTAATGGTTTGAACAATAGTTATTTCTCTCCCATTACATTCTTATTTTTAAAAAATTTATCAATAAAATAATATGGAACCAAAAAAAATTTTGGGAAGGGGCAATTGTAAATTTTTTTCCCTAAAATAGACCTAGAATTGGGCCTGTTAAAACATGATAGAAAATTATAATCATCCTTGTTTAAGCCCATCTAAAAACGTTCTACAAAGTAATTATAATCTTATAATAATTCTTTTTTAAAGAACTCCAATTGATGTCCTTTTCACAATCAAATGGATTTGAATCCATGAGGTTAAAATATGCAAATAAAATATTATTACATTTCCCTCTCTTCAAAAAAAAAGATTAAATTTCACACCCTTGATTTTCAATTTAAAAAATGTATTTATATAATAATTTAGATCATCATTGCTTAAATGATAGTATCCTTAGCCTCAAATTTTTAGAAAATAATCTCCTTATCGCATCTTTAAAATATTTTCTGAAATTAAGATGTTTAGTTTTGACATTGTCTCTCTTTATAATACTTTTATTCTTTATTATATATCCTTTAAGTACGATTTAAGTTTTATTATCTTCAAAATGTTATGTTTCCTAAATTTTTTATCACTTTTAATATTGACTATTAGAATTTCTTTGTACTTTGTGATTAATGTATTTTATTTGTAAGATTCAATGAATTTATAATTTTATTATTTTCTTTAATATTTGTATCCTTAATTTCTTCAATTACAAGTATTTCTTTAAATTTTATTATATGATTTATATCTTTTAATTTATAAGATTCTATTTTATCATCATATATGAATTGTCTAGAAATTATTTAAAAATTTTTAGTTATAACTTAAAATTTTTTAATTAGTTTAGTACTATATATGTCCATAGCATTTGGTATTTTAAGTTCCTTAAAAATTTCCCTATTTATCCAATTAGCGTTTTTCTATTTTTGATAAAGATCAGAATCATAATCAGCGATAAATAAATCAGGTATTTTTTCTAAATCAACATATTTTATTTCAAAATTTTATTACTTGTTTATGAACATTTTCATTCTTATTATGAATATAAGATTGTTCGTTATATTAATAATTATTTTTATTAAAATTTTTATGATTATGAATTTTTATAATTATATTCATTATAATTTTAATTGATTACTCTTATAATAATTACCTGAATTATTTCTATTATGACAATTACTATTTTAATTTTTATATTGATTATTCTTATAATTTCCTGGATTATTTCTATTATGAAAATTACTAGTATTACTAGTACAACTTTTTTATAATGAGTTTTAGAATGAAAATGGTCAATATTATTATATAATGATTTTTTATATTCGTAATACCCTTTTATCATTATGAATTCATGATTAGTTAATTTCAACATTTGTTCATAATTCAAGAAATCAAAAAAATGAAAAATATAATCAGGTAAGTTATTAGAAAATCAACTGTTATTTCATTGTTTAATAAATATTCTTCAAATGCATTCATTTATATCCACTATGATTGATTAATATTTATGTTATAAGTTATTTTATGTTAAAAGTTATGACTTGTAATTTAATTTATAATAACTTTTCTTTTTATGAGCATTTGGAATTGTTTGTAAATCTTCATTGTAAGAGTATAAAAATAAAAAGTTAGGCTCAATTAAATATACAAAAATAAGAAAAGGTAAATACAAAGTTAATAGTCTAATTTTCATTATTCAACAGAAACAAAACACTTTTTGGCCCTAAAAGGTGCAGGGATGCAAAAATGTTCTTGTTCCAGGCCTCTGTAGAGTCATAATAATATTAATCAACTTAATTTTTGAAAACAAATAGTTTTGCTATAACTGACTTATTAAGTACATTAATCTGATTTATAAAAAAAATAGTTGTAGATCTTTGACAAATCAAATGGAAATTTGTAGAAATAGGATATCACCAATAATTACGGAAGATATAGCTCAATATTTTATATATTTATTTAGGCGAAGTTATCGGGAAATGGTATTATCAAGAAGGCTTCACTCAAATATCAAGGATCATAAGATAGTTAGTTTTTTTATTAATTTAATATTTTAGGTTTGTACATTTAACCCTTTCGCGCCCTTGAGTACTCTTCCTATCTTTTAAATAATATACTTTGTTTATATTAAGCCCGTTGATGCTTTTTGAATTCATGATTTATTTAACCCATTACTGGTCAAGGTTAGAATTACTAGACCAAAATTTGATTTTTTAAAAATGAATATTGTTTATTTTTATCTAACTAAAACATATTATTAAAATAATTTGTGAAAAATAATTAAATGAGTTTTTTAATACATTGTTAGAAACATTATTAACGTTGTATATTTCCAAAACTAATATAATCGTCTTCCTCAACATAAGAGGATGGAATTTTCTTTTGAGTTAAGAGGGGCCATCTAAAAGCATATGATGAAAATATTTTTTTCCATACTACATGCTACCCATCTATTTTTAAAATAAGGATATGAGGGAGTTGTTAAAAAAACTTTCCATCTAAAATTGTTAAATGGCATGTGGATGTGGACGTTGTTAGTATTACAGATTCTTAATTTCTCGATGTCATGTCACAAATATAAATAAATAAATTGTTAATTTGCATTTAAAATTCATTAGAACAAAAAATAAAAAAGTATTTGTATTTATTTTTCAGAAATCTTCTTGGACCGGGCTGGAAATGTTGTGCAAAATATTTTACAGGCCAGGCCAGAGTCTGATGATAATTTTCCTTCTGAAAAAATTATTATGGGCCAGGCTGAACAACATGTACTAAATATATTTTATAATTGGCAGGACTAGCCAATTAATTGTTATATAATTATATTAAATATTATATAATTAAAAATATTATTTTTATTACTCTCAGCAAGGATCAAACTTATTATTTTATGACATTCCAGATTTTAAAAAGCTTGTTCATAAAAGTATCTTACCATGTTTTTGTAAATTTTAAGGAAAATTGAAAAATATCAATTGAATATCTACTTTGCAGCATTTTGCTATTATTAATTGGCTATAATTTAATTTACTTTTTAAATGAACCTCCAGTTTTCATAAAATTATTTTTACCTTTAGATCCAGCCCAAATTTGTAACATTTTTAGGTCCAGCCTGGTTTGTAAATATTTTTATTTTTATGCCCAACCCCGATTTTTATATTAATAAACAAAAATAAATTATTTAATATATTTCGATACCTTGGTATCTAACGGGGTAAGTGGAGATAAAATAATGGTTGTTTCTCATGTCCTCATCACAATTAGATACTTGTATCTTGATAATTTTGACATACCTTTATGAAAAACACCTCTGACATTACATAAACGACACCTGAAATATATTGTGTCCTTTTCTATTATCCTTTCTATATTCTTTCTTTTAATGGCATAATATATATTTTTATGACTTGAATATAGGCCTATTTAAAAAATATTCGAATCGAATAATGACGAATTTAATTATTTAGTTTTGTTCGAATACTAATCAATTATTCGATTCATATACAACTAATTTTCTGGTATTTATTAAATTGTTCTTAATAAAATCTAATCATTTGTCATTTCTATTTAACCTGACAATTTGACAGGAATGTGATTATCTCATATAAATAAATATAAATTATCACATCTCATAAGATAGGAAAATTTCTGATTCATTCATCATCAAATAAAGGTAAAATTTATTATTCGTCCATCATTTAAAAAAAAAGAAAATTCTTATTCCACGTCATTCTTGACGGGCAATCAGCTAGTAACTTATATTTTTGAAAACGGGTTCTTAAAAATCCCTAAAATATATGTAAATTTAAGGCAAGGTCACAACAGGCATTATTTTTTTTGTTATTTATCCTAAAAATGGATTAATATTTCCTCCATATATAACTTCACAATGGCTTTCTTTATTTCCTTGTGTCCAACTCTTGAATCCAGCAATTATCAGAAATTTTTTGTCTATGGTTTGCTCATTCCTTTAAGTAGATCGGAAATGAAATAATTGAGCTATTAAAATTAGAGACCTTCATGGTTCTTGATTTATTCATCAGCCTCCAGTCCAGGTCAGCAGTAAAAATAATTTGCAGGCCCATTCCATATTTAATAAAAAAATTCAAACCCAAGCCCATCATAAGTTTCAAAAATTTTGCCCAAGCCCATATCCAAAAATTTAATTTATTGCTTTAAATGAAAATAAACAATATTTAAGTGTATTTACTATTTAGGCAGCAATCACTTTGTTTGCAATACTGAAATTTATTATCATTAGAAGAAAAAAAATGTATATTTTAAGTTCGTCAGGCTAAATTTAAATGAATTTTTTTTAGGGTTTTTATTAAAAACCCAGTCCTGACCCAGGCACATTAGTAAATATATTATTTATCCTAAAAAAATGGATTAATATTTCCTCCATATATACACTTCACAATGGCTTTCTTTATTTCCTTGTGTCCAACAAATCCAGCAATTATCAGAAATTTTTCATCTATATACATAAATTTGCAATTGCTATCAGCTAAACCAAGCATTTGATTTAAAATATCTATAAATGTAAAAAAGGGTTCTAGATTTTTTAGGAGTTTTTATTTTTATGTGCCTAGCATCTAATGAGCCAAGGCAGTTTGGAAATCCATGTTTCTCAAAATATTCTTGTGCAATCTAAAATATATTAATATCTAATTTCAATACCTTCTCACAATATTCTCTAGTCTGGCATATGAATATCTTTTAAAGTTTTTCATATAGCATCACATACCTCTGGAATGATGGTAGCAATGATGGTTTGCCTATTCTTTGGATAGAAATAAATAGTGTTTACTCTGTGTTCAGCAACAAATATTTTAAAAATATATTATATGTTCGCCATATTATACATCACGTGGGAAACATTAATGGCTTAAAATTGCTATGATGATTATCATTGGACAAATATTTTTTAAAAGAACACTATTGGTTAAATTTGATTGACGTTTTTTGATGATATAATACATTATCGACCAATTATTTCAATAACTTGGCTTAGTATTATATAAATTATAATATATAACTTTTTACCAGAATTGAATAAATTTTTTGCAAATCTGAATTCAAATATAGCAAGTGGAAGTAAAATGAAATTATATAATTTATATTCGACTAAATTATTATATTTATTTATTTTAGTAATAAAAAAAATCTTATGTTTTTATATTATAAAATTTTTTAAATAAATTCTAACCTAATAAGATTGATAAACATTCTTTTAATGCATACTAGTTAATTATATCAAAATATTTATTCCCCAATGATATTTTAGAGGTCAAATACTTCTCCGGTCAATTGACCGACATGCCAACCCTGGTTAAAATAATTAATACGATGACAGGGCCATATAGGGGGGAGGGGGAGAAATCAGACATTTTTAGGAGCCGCCAAATATTTTATAATTTTATTCAATTATTTTTAGCCTCTTGAAAAATAACATTTTTTTTTTGTAAAAAATCCATGTATAATTTTTTAAAAAGGTTTGGTATGTCTAGCCATATGTATTATAAAAAAAATTTGATTTTTATGAACTCATTAAAATATTATTATGGTGTCGCTAGATAAACAAAAGAATTTTCTCGTCCTTTAGAATGAAGAAAATTTATTTACATTTAGATTATTTGCATTCACTTTTTATACAAATCATAACTACCAATCATTATATTACACTCAGATAACTATCCTCTAATTTAATCGTTCAACAAGTCTGATAATTGAAATATATTTGTATTGAGCTTAGTTTGTAAACACGTGAATATTTTGTTTCCCAGGTATTGAGATTGATTTATTAAATTGGCCTTATCTTTTCTTCCTCAATATTTATTCTTTTTATGCGCTCTTCAGCATATTTATAAAATTGATGAAAAAGGTCCTTGTAAGCTTGCCTTGACAACCCTATTCTGAATTGTTAATTATATATCTGAAATAGTTTTTGATATTTTCGTTATCTTTTTTTAGATAATTTTTTTCAATTAGTTTTTATTTCTTAATATGAGATATTCCAATTTCGTTTAAAATGATATTGAGTATTCATTGATGTGGATACTGTGGTGTTATTTATTTCTTATTCGCTGTCGGAATATATTTTTAAATATAGTATTCCGCCTCAAAGTTTGGAAATTGAGATTCTTTTTATAATTAAAGTGCTTAGATTCTATAAAAATATTTAAGCATTTATATTTATACAATATAAATAATTTTATGAAAAAAATATAAAATGGACATATTTGTAAAATTAATTAATACCAGGGCTCTGTGCATGAAAACGGGCTTTTATCTTTCAACAAGTAATTATTATATTTTCCTGCAGGAGATATCGGAATCTAACTATCTTTTTTAGTAAATTTAATCCTTTATTATAAAAACAATTAACCTTTATAAGTTGTCAATAGTAATTATCCGGCGACTTAAAAAATATTATTTTTAAATATGAGAATTTTTTAAAAAATAATTTTAATAAAAATGCGTTTTTTTATATAGAAGCAACATCTATTTTTGAAAAAGCCCATGGCTGTTCCAGGTTAAATTTTTTACAAATAGATATAAAATAATAAATTTTAAAAAATTCGGAAAGCGAAACACCTCGAATTTTCATTCAAAATTTATAACATAAATAAAAATCGTAACAAAAATCCTTAATATTTACTAGCCTATAATACCGTTACAAAATGACATATAATTTTTATTTATAGCATCATTATATTTTAAATTATCTCATTTAAATTAATCTTATTGTTGGAAAAAGTCATTTTGGTACTTTTGATTATTAATATTTCAGGAACTATTAGTACTAGGTGGCTAAAATTTTGGATTCGATGCTTTCTAATTAAGTTCTCTCAGTAGGCAGAATTTAATCGAAATTAAAAAGGTCGAACCGAAAAGTTTTAGATTTAGTATAGAATTACCAAACCAAAGAATTTTGAAAATGGGATGAGGAAACAAATTTGATTAAGGTACTTGAAACGAAAAAGAATTTTCAAAAAGGGGCTATTTTAAGATGAAAATGAAAATA